CAAGAGTACATAATAGGAGATATATATCTATATATCTATATATATACATATACGTATATATATATATATATATACGTTAACTTTCTCCTCGCGTCGCAGGACCGCCCAGCGCACCGTCTGACACGCACCTGCAGTCGTGCTCGTACGGCAAGCGCGGCAAGGAGGAGCTGAGTGACTCGATCGCCGAGGTGATGTGGCAGCAGTCCAACGGCTACTGCGTGCCCATCCTCAACTACATCGTGGAAGTGAAGAACACGACGTCCAACGCTAGCGCCGCCTGGGAGATACTCTACGATAACATACCCGGTGACATGTGAGTGAAGCCCTACTGTGTGGGGTGGGTGGGGTGTGTGGAGGGTAGGGTGTGTGGGTGGTGTGTTTGTTTGTGGGGGGGGATTGTTTGTGGGGTTGGGTGGGGGTAGGGTGGTGTGGGGTGGGGGTGGGGTGGGGGTGGTGGGGATTGTTTGTAGGGGTTAGGTGGGTGGGGTAGGTGAGGGGTAGGTGTGCGCGCGCGTGTGTGTCATATTGCTCACCAGTTCATCAAATTATCATCATATCGTCTAAATTAATGCTACAATTATTTCATCCTTCTCGCAGATTGAGAGTAACCGCCAAACTGCCACCTGTCGGCAACTATCGACTGCGCGTGCGCGCCATCACCGAGATAGGAGTGAGCAAACCTAGCCGGGAGACTTCCGAGTGTCCCGGAAGAGGCGGAGGTCAGAGTATCGACATCAGTGACGCCAACAGGAACACGGATGACTCTGCGCCCGGTAGCGGTGTGTCCCGTACGATGACGTGTGGCGCCATCGCGTGGCCACTTTTGTTCGCAATTCTCCGACATTTTTGGTGATGACGAACGGACGGACGGACGCATTCTTCGCCAACCTCTGACCTCTGACGTCACTGAGATGCCGACAGTCGATGTGCCCGATTTCGTTGTCGGGAAACGTAGGAGATTACATCATTCGTGCGATTCCGAGAGAGATATGCAATTAGCGGAGAGGTCGAATGCCGGAGGTACGAAGAAGCGTAGATCACTAAAATTCATTCGCTAATGATAAATACATAGATTGTATCATATTTATCCCTTTTATAAACTGTTTCAGTGTATGCGTAAGCGAAACGAAACTATTCTGAAGTTGGTGAAATACAACTCCCGCACCCGTGTAGCATGGTATATACATTCCCCGCCCATGGTAAAAGTCCCCCCTCTACATTGCGCATGATTGGTAGGACGCGGCATAACTAACACTCGGATTTGACCTCAGCTACGCACGGACCCTGTAGATAGGGGGGGACGTGTGTCATGAAGGGTGGTTGAATATCACGCTACGAGGGCTGTCGGGTCTCGGGCATGCGCTGTTGTCGAATAGACGGTGACTCAGCAAAATTCACGATGACGTTTTTACCAATAGCAAACTATAACGAGCAACTGTCAAGACTTATCTGAGTACTGCGATTGTTTCCGATAAGTAGGAGACAGATCCTGGCTGCTATCGATTGGTCTATCGGTTATCTGATCGGCGTCAGCGATTCAAATGGTAATAGATACCATTAATTCGTACTTGCGAGAATCCAGTTCTAGCTAGTAATAACTAGCTAGTAGCAAAGAGAGTCTAGCTGCGAATACGCTGTGATATATATATATATATATATATATATATATATATATATATATTCGATATCGTGTGTCGTGTACGTGTACGGTTGGTACGACGTAACTTACTCTACTACTACACGTACGTACGTACGTACGTAACGTA